ATATATATATGTTCATGTATAACTGAAAAATTGTGCTCTACACTGGAATTTGACACAACATTGTAAAATGATTATAAATCAATAAAAAATGTTTTAAAAAAACAAAAAACAAACATAAGGAATTGTTGGTTGTGGCCAAGAACTACAAAAAGGCAACAACTATAAGCTAGGTCCTCCTTGGTTTTTTTTTAATCAATCTTTCCAAACTAAAAGATGCACTTCTATTTCAGTTTTTTTAAGTTTTAATATCAATTAGACATAGAGTGGACTTAATTTCATATGCCCTTGCGTGTACTTTATAGATGAGTGTTCCTGTCTTACGGTCCTGCTTCCATTTCTGCTCCATCACCTAGAGCATGGGGGCAGGTTGTCTCAGAGGAGCACTTTGAGTAGGCAGGAAGCAAGGGTTCCATAGAACTGCTGGTTTTGGCCCTGCTGGCCCCTCCATTTCTCTTGACCACCTTGATACTTCTTTCTTCCTCAGTCTTTCCAGTCCCCTTTCATCATAATATAGTTGATTGTTCATTGTACTTATTAGGTTGCATTTATACCTCTGACATTAATTTAAAAAAAGAAACATTTGATGGGAAAGATGACTGTACAGTTATGTCAGTGACCTGGGTGAGAAAACAGTTTGTCTTTAAACGGGTATTTTAAAAATACATGTTCAATATTTATTTGAGGAAGAGGGAATGCCAGCACCTGTTGAGAATCCTTTGTTGTTTCAATATGAAAACACTATCCCTGTCTGTTCTGTGGGACCAATTTACATGTAGTTGGCTGTGAAGGGATCTAAGTACATAGAGCTGAGTTAACTGGCACCGTTCTTCAAGTTAATTCAAGTAATTTTTTAATGTTATTTAGAGAAGTAGTTCTCAACTTCTCATGTGTATATCTATCACCTGGGAATCTTGTTAAAAGCAAATTCAGCGAATTCTGATTCCATCAGTCTAAGGCGGGGTGTGAGATTCTGCATTCCAACAACTTCCCGTGTAATGCTGATGTTGCTGGTCCAGGGACCACACTTTTGTGGGGAGTGGGGCATGAAGGGCGTGTCACACCCCCTTTATTCTGGCTCAGATGTGGAAGGGTCGGTATTTTTATATGAAAAACAGGGGCAAGGGGAATGAGCTAGTTTTCTTCTTTTTTTTTTTAATTGAAATATTGTCAGTTTATAATGTGTCAATTTCTGGTGTACAGCATAATGTTTCAGTCATACATATACATACATGTATTCCTTGTCATATTCTAGTTTTCTTTTTTTAAACTAGTTTTATTTATTTATTTTGACTTATGAATCTTTGAAACATTTTTGGCAGGAAGTGGGTGAGTGGTTTACTGGCCCCTCCAATTAAAGAAATTCCCTGCTTATTTTAGGTAACTTGCCAAAAACAGAAGTTTGTACTCTTAGGAGAGAATTATATGATTCTGTGATTTTAGAATTTACATTTCAAAGTTCCTGCTTAGAACATGAGATAGGAAAACTCTTATAGACCTGTACTTATGACTGTTTTAAAAATAATAAGATTTTGATCTACTCAGTAGGAATCTTTGTAAAAATAATTCTTTTAAAAGAAATAATAAAGGGCACTAAAACTTAAAAATATGACACATAAAGCCAATGTGATGATTTCAAGTGAACACCTAGTCACCTAAATGGTGATATTTCTGTAAGAATTGTTTTCATGATAACCATGTAAAGTTACATCATCATGTACTGGGGCATTCTGATTTATGACTATGGGGATATGAAGTTGCCGTGCATCAAGCAGATTCCACCCCACGTGAAGCTTTCAAGTCTACAAGTGTAAGCAAACTACAAGCTGCCTCTGATGTGTTCTTGCCAGTCCCATATTAGATGCTCAATAAATATTTGTGGAATGTATTGAATCCAAAGGAAACTCACATGGGTAACTTGCATACCAGCCTGCACAATGTAAATAATGCCTGCCATAGCATGTGCTTCAGAAATGATTCCTCCCATACTAACCTCTCCATCCCTGGAAGATGAGCATTGCTCCTTTGTTGGGTTTTGTGATTTGTTGCCACCTGTGTCCACAGAGCCCCCATCAGCCACTTCAGCCAGCATTGAGTTTTTGTCTTCCAGACAACCCCAGCACCTATCCTACTTCATATTTCTGCCATTTGCATTTTGAGAAGATTGCATCTCCAAAAACATTGTGAAATTCTTCAGAGACAATGTCATATTATTCTTGTGGATTCCATTGTACTTACCACAGAGCAGGTATTCAATAAAAAAAACTATTAAATTGATTCCCCGCTTTGATGAGTGAATGTTGATGACTCTTTATTAAATATCTCTGTCACATATTTCAAGCAAGGCTCAACCCTTCCAGACTCAGCCAAACAAAATCTGTAATTGCTTTAAGAAATTTTCTTATAACTCAGCCTTTGAAACATCCACAGGATAAGATATCTCTTGATAAAAAAAAAAGTCTTAGATATGTTTCTCCAGGGCTCCACTGGGCATGATTGTCACTGTGTTTCCCCAGGATACAGTTTTGGATAGCTTTTGTTATAGTCCCATCAGGTACTGCCGGTTGATGTTTTTTCTGTGTTTTCTTAAGGGTCAACTGAGCATGATTTTGGTATGATTATTTCAACCAATCAGTACTCTGAGAAGAGCAACCCAGCTGAATCATGGGAAGACATAAGTAAGTTTTTTTTGGTATACATATATATATATTTTTTTCCTAATTGAAGTATACTCAATTTACAATGTTGTGTCAATTTCTGATGTACGGCATAATGCTTCAGTCAAAAGCATATAGTAGATGATATTCCTCAAAGCTTAATCTAAATCATATCCTATTCTAGGTGCTTCAGTGAAAGAATTTATTTTATCTTTGCAGCAGCACTATGAGTTAAGTAATATATTACTTCCAGATACAGTGATAGACCAAGGCTTAGAGAATTACAGTCACTTTCCTATTGTCGTGGGGCCAGGAAATGCAGAGCAGAGACTTGGACTCAGGCTGTCTCTCAAACTGTGCTGTCCAATATAATAGCCACTAGCCACCAGTGATTATTTAAATGGGTTGAAATTAAATAAAGTTAAAAATTCAGTTTCTCAGCCACACCAACCTCATTGCAAATGCTCAATAGCCACATTTGACTGATGGCTCCCATATTGGACTAAGCTGATGATAGAACATTTCCATCATTGCAGAAGTTCCATTGGACAGCACTGCTCTAATGCCTGTCCCTGCTGGTGGCCTACTGGCTGTGCTGCTTCTTCAGGACCTCACTACGAAAGGGCCTGGGAGTCGGAGAGGTTAACTTTTGTACAGATGTGTGTGTGTGTGTGTGTGTGTGTGTGTGTGTGTGTGTGTGTGAATATGAATGAAGAACTGAGTTGCAGGGTGGGTGAGGAAAGGAAGACTTCTGCTTCCCCTGGGACCTAGGTTGGGGGCTTCAACAGGGACTAAGTTCCCCCTGGAATAGCCCATGGAACAGCTGCAGTGGAAGAAGATCTCCTCGTCTCCCCACCAGAGAGTCAGGGAGTTTAGGGAGGCACTTTAAAGTCTAAGTGGCCAGGCTGGAGAGAGGAAGGAAAAGAGAGGAAGTCTGTACATGAGCAGCCAGCAGTAACCATCCGTCCCCATCTGGGCTGTGGCTGGTTTTGGGCCCACCCTCCTGGAGAAGCCAGATTTTACCCAGGCCCCTGGAAAGGCACTGGAGAAGTATGCAAGCCAAGCACATGCCTTGACAGCCTCTGACTGACTGGCTAGTAAGGGACCACTGGGGCTTGGATGGCCTGACCACCACATAGCCACTATCTGAATTCCTGACAGACTCTCAGGACTGGTATTCTGATTGCTTTACACATGCTGACTGGCATCTCAGTACAGAATGACCACCTCAGACATCATGACCTCTCCAGATATGCACGAAAATGAAAACAGTGACAACTATGGCTTATACTTAATACACCCCAGGGACTATGTCCAGCTATTTTGAGTAGTAAGCATAAGCTGTGGTTATTATTGTTTATTTATATTGTATTTTATATGTATTCTTTGAATTTTCACAATTCTATGAGGTATGGATGTATGTATCTATTATTACTATTATTATCATTCTTACTATATACAGGAGGAAGCATAGAGGCACAGTGACTTGATAACACAGCTACGAAGTGGCCGCATGGCAGGTGAGCTGGGTCAGCCTGGGCCCTTAGTCCACACTCTTAACCCCTGCACTGAGCTGCTTGTTGGCCCAGCATGGATGCCACTCCACACTGCGTTTCTCTGTGTTTCTTCATCTGTATAAACATTCAGCTGGGTGTTCAGTGTGGCATGGTTTTCATGCGATTACTCCAGCCACAGACAGGCATCCATGGAGCTTGGAGAAACTGCTTATTTTGATTTATAAATACCAACAATGGTGACAAGCATGTAGTAATTGGCAGAATTTTCATCCTTTTTCACATCAGACTTAGAAGTTCTGCTCTTGCCAGTGGTAAATACTTTGTACTTATTTTGAATTTTGGACAGTGCTTTAAATAAGTATTTATAAATGTATATATTTTTGACTTTGTCTGAGGGACAGGAGTTTGATTTCAAATGTTTATCCCTTCTGATAGCTCTTTTTAGTCACCCACAAATGGGTGCTAATCTCTCAACAGCATAATCAAATTTAGGAAGAATTATTGGAGAATAATAAAAGTAGTAATTAAAAAATAAAGGGCAATCATCAATATTCCAATAACTGTTATTAATGCAGGCCTTGTCAGTATTGCTAATATAAAACACAAAAGGCTGATTTTTAGAAAATTGGTACCTATAGTGTTCAGAACATAAACACTGGAAAAACAAAAACAAAAACCCAGAATCTGTGCACTAGCCTTCTTTAGATTGGTCAAGACAGCTGAAGTTAATTCTAATAAGTAACACTTGTCAGCAAAGTGTTGAAGACTAAAGATTTTGGAAAATGATTAAAAATTGAAGAATGTCCTCTGAGCGTATGGTAGAGGTGTGGCATCAAATTCAATGCCAAATGCAAATCTGTCAAGTAGGGGCAATGTTTTACCTCTGAGGTAATTGGGAAGCTTAGATCAACACCAAGATGCCACATTGGGGGTTTTTAAGTTGTTTCATCAACCTAAGTGGGAGGCTAAAACTAACTGGGATTTTGTGATTAAATCAGTTTGTTTGTTTTGATGAATTTATAATTACTGAATCCTGTTAGAAAAATGAATCTGTGAAATACACAATTGGTCTAATACACAGTTGGGAAAATGGTTTACTCTTATGTCCTACTTAGTTTTTTACTCATATTCTCAACTGTTGGTCTACAGTTTCATCATGTTCGTGGTGGCTGCAGGGCTGGGGTGTAAGTCCTAAGGGAGAGGCCAGGAGGTGTAGAGTTGGAGCAACTGGCTATAGCCTGGAAGTCTGAAGGAGACTGGACTTCTCTTTCTACTCCAGAGGTTTACAACAGCAGACTGATGGATGAAACTGGATTTCCAGAGTAACAGAGAACACTTCCCTGTTTGGTCTCCTCCAAAGAACTTGTTTCCTCCTAACCATTTGTAGTTTTGCATTTGACTGTCCCAAGTTGGAAAATCTAATGAAAAAATTGGAGAGAAATACATGTTGCATCATTCCCCCATGACTCCGATTCTTAACACTACCTGTTTTCCCCAAAGAAACACTCGGATATTCTAAATGGATAAATGGGTTGAGATAGGTTTTGGCAATATGTCTTCATGCTTATATCTGTTCTGGGTTAATGTGTTATGGGAGAAAATATGGCTTCTTTTAACATGTGGCTCAGTGGGGATGTGTTTTAATTTTAGGATCTTTGCATATCTGTCTGAAAATCTCTAATGTTGAAGGCCATTGCTTGGGCTGAAGGTGACTGAAGTGCCAGAACACACCGAAATCTGAAGGTAGCTCATTCACTAACTTATTTATTCATTTAATACATAAGTATTAAGTGCTCATTCTGTGCCAAACACTGTTATAGGCAAACTATTAAAAGAAGGAGCCTGGTTAAAAGGGCTCTCTATGTAGAAGATGACTTCAGTGTCGAGGAATTGTTAGCCTCATGGGCTGTCCACCTTGGTGATCTTCATATCTGGACCCCAGACTTCCCGTCCAGGATTTGACAAGTCCTAAGTGTGATTCATTATCTTTAAGGGTACTTGAGGACCATGGTTGTGAACTACCAGATTATTTCTTCCTCAAAGTTTTATACATTTCCCCTTGGCTTATCATTATTAAATTTCTTGAACAATGTTTTCAGACAAGACAAAGTACCTTAGAATTTTAACCAAGTCCAACATTAGCACTTTATATATATGTTTATTTATTATATGATATATAATACTTATATATAAATATAACATATATTTATACATATAAATGTAACTTTAATGACATAGGACAGTATTTAAAATAATCTAACAAACATGTCTAGACCCCTTACTTGTAGCTTTACTGAAAAGTCTCAGATATCCAATTTCAATTAAGGCTGGAGGCTGTCTTAAGAAATAGATCTGAAGGCCCAGATCAGTAGTTTAGGAAGAATATACAGCTTTCTCCACATAATAATAGTAATTAGGAGAGATAACATGTATTGAGTATGTGCTAAGTGCCATATATAAATTATGACCTTGCCAATCTTTCAAGTATGGAGAGGAAAAAAAGAGATATTCTTTAAGGAAAAAAAAAGTCACTCTAGAAACCAGGAAGCTTTGCTTGTTTGTCTTTCTGTGTGTAGATTTGTTTGATGGTTACACATAGATCTATTGGAGCAATGCTGTGTTTGGACAAACACCAGCCAAAATATCTCAAGATACAGAACTAAATACAGCTCTGCTTCTACTGATCAGGAATTGAAAAAAGCTGCATTTCTTTATTCTCAGTCATTTGTTGTTGTTGCTGGTTTTCTTTTTAAACCATGAGAACAAAAGGAGAATCCCAAAAAAGATTATTGGGTTCAGCTATCAAATCCCGAAGAGCTTGTGAAAACTAGAATACCTAGATTCAGCTATAACTGCTAATAAGGAATATAAACCAAGAACTAAGTGGGGCTCCCACGAGGACTCCTTGGGGAGTATATCAAGATTTTGTGCATGCTCAAGTCCTTGTGCCTGTAGGCTGAGGATTAGAAATGTCTTTATTTATTTGTATCAATGGTATCAGCAAGGTATTCCTTAAGAGTATGCTGCTAATACAAAGGCAGCTGTGAAAAAAAAATCACATAAGATGAAAATGCTGATGATTGCTGAAATAAGTAATATGTGTGTAGTGTATCTTATCTTCACAGACAAATCTAAGTGTTTGACTTAAATAATTGCAAGACTTTCTAACTCTTTTGATTTGAGGAAAGAAAAAATTAAGTATCAGGTGATCCTTGTCACAGAGGAGGGATACACACAGCTGGGGTAAAATATAGACACAAAGAACTTTCAGACTTTGGTTTCCAAAAACATAAAATTTTAAGTATCTGTAGAGAACTCTAGGCATAAAAAAAAAATCTGAGAGTTTGAGGGGAGGGGTATCTTCCTCTGTCTCTCAAACCAGGCTAGAAAATCTTTCCTTAGAAGTGTTGGAGGTGTGGGGGAGTAATGGAGAAGAAATGAAAGAGTGGAGATTTGGAGGATTTGCAAAGAGTGGTCTTGTATCCCGCTTGCAAGCCATAGTCCTGATGCTGAGCCAGTCAGTGGTTCCATCTCCTTGGACACTTGGTTCTGGAATGACAAGTCTCAAGACTCCTGTGAGTAATTTTGGAATGAAGGCTTATTCCTCCCTTTGGAGAGTGTGATGAACCATTTTTTGTCAGCATGAGGGAAGCTGCCTTCAACACAAAGCTGACTCACAAATGAGAGAAAAAGCAAGGCAAGTTCAGCAAATGATTGGAGCCCTGATTGACATCAGGAACTGCTGTGTTCAATTGCATGTGAAGTCCACTCTATATTAAAACTTTCCATCTACGTAATATAACACATCTCCTTTATTATTAATTAAACCACCTGAATTAGGTATTCTGTTACTTGGAATCAATAGTATCTAACCTGATAAGACAAATAGTATTTTTAATGTACTTTCTGTATGTGTCCAAAGCTTTAGACATAAACTCAATCTCCCCACCACACTGGGAAGTGAACATCATTACCTCCATTTTACAAATCAGGAAGCCAAGACTCAGAATTGTTGCACAAAGTGGCAGAGCAGGGATTTGGATCTGGAACCATCGAGACCCAAAGCCTGGACCCTTTCCTCTTCTGTCATATCATATCCCAATCGCAGAGTCCCAGATCACTGGCAGATGTTTCATTAATGTCTGTGATCAGTGTGTTACATGCCTTCTGCTGATTTCTCTCAGGACCTGCTTCCAACAACCAATGTTTCTGAGGTATAGACCACACAAAAGCACTTTTTTTTTTTACTACTGAACTCCCTGATAGGATTCAGAAAATACAAATCAAAGTTATAATAACAGATTAGAATCTATTCTGAAATAGACTCAAGTATTTTAGGAGCAGAATTGAATGCGCTTCTTCTAAAGCCTGCCTGAAATGGCAACATGAAGTAGCAGAAAGCGTGGGGGTTTGAAATTATATAGATCTGGGTAAAAATTACAGCTTTGGGACATACAGGTTTACAGGATGGCAGATTAGATGTGATTAATGGATTTGCTGCCAAAATCCCATTGAAAATCCAAAAGAAAATGAAAAAAATTGCAAAATTCACAATGGCAATGACAGTTAAAGAAGAGATTATAGTTTAAAATCTGGCCTGCCTTTTCCTCAGAGGCATCAGTGAAGGGTGAAGGGTTGAGAAGCACTTTCCTAGCTGATACACCATGTACTCTACCTAAAATAGTCTCTCCAGACGGTATTGAAAAACTAATTGATCCCCTCTCTATACATATACTCCAGGAAAATGAAGGGTCACACAGTCATAAAAACTCAGAGCTATTATACAGTTATGCATGAAATGTCTTCTTAGCCAGACTAAGCCAAATCATCTATTTCCCACTCTGACAGTTTCCCAGTCTGTTAACCCTCTGAATGGTGAGTCCTTTTCTCTAATCCATGTAGTGTGTACAACTCCAAAGGCAACAGCAGTGCAGGAGGAAGAGAAGCCTGGATAAAACTGCACTGTATGATGAGCTGAGACAAATCTCTTGTGTGGATTTTTTCAGCCAAAGAAATGAAAACAGAGGTGTAGAAGAGTAGTGAGTACAAAGGGCTGAGAGAAGCTGCCAGATTGAGAAAGGGAATATTGAGGAACTTCAGCCCAGTGGAACATCACTAGATGAATATAGTCTAGGAATCATACGTGAAGCTGTGGGCTCTGTTTAGACGTGTAGAGGAAAAGTGCAGAATCTGAACAGGTAGACCTCAGGGAGTAGTGACAATTCAACAAAGGGATCTCACGACAATCATTGAACTCCAATTGAAAGATGAGTAAACAGAAAAACAAAATACACAACCCAAGCACAGGAGGCAATTAAAAAATATTGACAAGGGGAGGATACTCAGTAGATGTGAGTGTGGTGAGATAACATTTTGAGATACTAACCTATTTTTTTCCCCTGATGCTTCACTCTTCCCTGTGCCTCGCACCCTTACCCTAATCAAGAATCTGGAAGTTCTATGCTCTTTGCTCAGGGAGGAGATGGGATAGGACAGAAAACAGAAACAAAGGACTGTTACGACTTTGTTTCCAAAAGCGTAGGCTCTTAGGTGACTGGAGAAGACTTTAGGCATGACCAAAATGTTAGGGTTAAAGAGATAGAGGTCTACCTTTCCAGCCTGGCTAGAGGAAGAGGGATGGATTATTTCAGAGAGATAGACCCTGTATTCTGCTTTCTGGAGGAAATCTAGGGTTCAGAGAGGAAGTAGATGTGGTGAGTTTTGAGAGAATGGGTCTTGGCCAGTTTGGTAGAGATTTTGATATCCTCACATGATAAGGAAAGATTAGAATACATTTTGTGCCCATAAAATGAAAGGAAATAGGAGAGAGAGCTGTCATACTGAAGAGGGCAGGCAGAGAGAAGCTCGTGATATTTTAGTGGTGAGCTGTGCAGAGTAATGATGGAGAACCAGTAGAGGTAATAGCTACCTCAGGAGAAATCTGCATGGACATAAGATATTGAAGACCAGATTAGGGCCCCATCCCTTTCATTAAATGCCAAGACACTGTGTTAAGTTACTTACACAAAACTCTAAAGCAAGGGGAGGGAATCCCAAATTATCTGAGATTAAGTTTCAGCCATCTTGATGGAAAGGGAAATAGACATTAGGTCAAGTTACTAATAGTTATTATAAAGTTATATTTATTTGCACATCTGGGATGTAAACTGAGATACATATTGACTACATTGGCTATAATTATTATTATTTTCATATCACAACCTTCACCTGAGTCCATTCTTTGCTCAATAAAGGCAATCTTTCAAAATAAACTAAATAAAAAATTTTATTGATAATATTATGCCACTTGTTGAGGTAACTGGAGATTCCAACATAGGTTATATTTGATACATAAGCAAGACTTCAGACTTAATCTAGAGACTTAGTTCAGGTGGTTCAACAGTTTGGTAAAAGGACCCACGAGTCAGAAAAATGTAAGTGCAAACTTGACTGCATCCATTTCTCACTCCTGTGAGTCAAGTACGTATACCCAGTGATATAAAATCGGAATTCCTGTTAATGAAATACACTTGCGGGCTAGTTCCCTGACCGTGAGGCTAAACGAGACCAGTAGAAAGCTCATTTATATGAGTGAAAACCACCTCTAAAAGAAGCTAGATTTTAAGCTGCCTTTAGATCAAAGTGGGTATTTGGAGAGAAGCTGCTTACAGGTCCATAGAACACTTTGATGTTGGTCGTTTTCTCCTTGAGACTGGAGAGAGGGCTCGCCAGCCTCTGAAACCCCATCCGGGCATCTCTATTGTTTAACTTGCAGGTAAATTTTTCAACCAAACTTGTGAGACTAATAATTCAA